ACTCTGCTTTATTTGTTCGACGCACCAATTGGGGTATTATTCTCCTTTTACTTTATGTTGATGATATGATCATCACTGGAGATGATTTGACAAGAATTCAGGAGCTCAAACAGTTTTTCAGTCATCGATTCAAGATAAAGGATCTTGGACCCCTTAGTTATTTTCTTGGTCTTGAGATAACTACATTTACAGATGGTTACTATCTTACTCAGGCAAAATACATATTTGATCTTCTCTCGAAATCGGGTTTAACTGATAGCAAGATTGTTGTTACCCTCTTGAGCACAACATAAGACCTAATCTACATGATGGAGAATCTATTTGAGATGGTACTTTGTATCGCCAATTGGTAGGTAGTCTGATTTATCTCACTGTCACTTATCCCGACATCTCTCATGCCGTCCACATAGTTAGTCAGTTCATGACTGCCCCTCGGTTTACTCATTTTGATGCCGTTCTTCGCATCTTTCGTTATCTCAAAGGCACTATGTTTTATGTACTGCATTTTTTTTCTCAGTCATCTCTTGTTCTCCGTGCCTATTCAAATGTAGATTGGGCAGGAGACCCTATAGATTATTGTTCCACCACAGGTTATTATTTCTTTCTTGGTGATTTACTTATCTCTTGGTGCAACAAGAAACAGATTGTGGTTGCTCGATCTAGCACAGAAGCTGAATACAGGGTGCTTGCTAATACTACCTCTGAGTTTCTGTGGTTGCGTTGGTTCCTTCAAGACATGGGAGTTTCTTTATCCACTGCCACTCCTATCTTTTGTGATAATACTAGTGCAATCTAGGTTGTACACAATGATGTTTTTCACGAGCGCACTAAACACATTGAGATTGACTGTCATTTTGTTCGTCATCATTTTCTTGAGAAGACCTTACAGTTGTGGTCAATTATTGTTATCATGTATTGTTAGCATATATTGTAGAATATATTTTAACCATGTATAGGTTTACCATATAGAGTTTAGGTTTTCTTGCTTTTCACACATCTCGTCACTTATATAAACCCCTATATATTCTCATATTAGGCACATCAATACGATATGCAGTTTCTTTCTTTTATATTTAATGAACCCTCAACCCAAATAAGAAGTATAAACAACCACAGAAAATCAATGAATATGAGATAATTTTACCCGAACAAAGAGAGACAATCGTAAGTAGAGAAGCGCAGATCGACCATCCTTAGATGAACTTCAAGAAACTGAAAGAGGGGGTTAAAGAGAGACTCTAGCCAAGAAATATAAGAGAGAATGCTTGAAGAGAAATTGTAAGGAGCGTTTGTACGGCTAAGGTTATAAACGAGAAGGATTCCGTTATTTTTTATTAAGTGAACTTTGTTCTCCATGTTTTCCCTCAACTGAGAACAGGTTTTAGAAAATTCAGAAAACAGCCAAAAGTTGTTCTCTAAAAACCAGTACTCATTTAACTTAGTTCTCTAAGAACAGTTTTGTAAATAAAGAACCAAGTAGACCAATTTAGGAGATTTCAGTTTTTTGCAACTATGAGAATAGAACTGTTCTCATAGTTCTAATCCAAGTAGAGTTAGTTTCTTGGTTTGTTTTGACTTCCTGTTTTGGATAGACTTTTGCTATATTGATCAGGCACAAAATTGACTTGTTTTGCAAGTTCAATTAGCTAGGTTTTCAAAAGTCTATAAAAACATGTTTTCTCACTTAGGGTTTCACGGCTTTTTGTATACAAAATTCTATTTTAATTTAGAGCCAATTTTGTGAGAGTTTTCAGTATTTTTCATTAAGAGCATACACACTATACACACGAGTGATTTAGGGTGTTGTTCTTATTCTGATTGTAGTATGAGTTTGAAGATATCATCGATATCAATCAGAGAAAACATAATTTATTCACTCTTCATAAAATTCAGAAATGAAGAAAAAGGGTGAGACGATCACACTTTGAAGGAGTCAAAGCATTCGTGAAATGTTGTTTGATCTATAAGCAATCCTTCTATAGAGATCAAGAGTAAGCTTGGGGTTGAGAGCTGTTGGACGGGGGAATATCATAAATATTAGTAGATGAATTTTTTTCAAAAAGAATTGTGAGGCCCAAAAGTCTACTGAATCATTTATAAGTAAAACCCACATTAAGACATCTAATGCTTGTAATTAAATAGGTTAGATTAGTCGGCCAAACAAATAAGCCCAAATATCATTACTCTTAATTGTATAATTTTTTTCTGCCATGAGAAATAATGTGTACATTTGATCTAAAAAAACTTACTATGTATTAACCTTAATTTTTATTTTAAAAATAAAGAAAATATCACTAGACTATATATGAGCAATTTGATAAACAATTATACATATTTTCAAAGTACTGCAGATTCCTCGAGGTTAGTGTCTTTGATGGATTTTAAAGTATTAAACTTCGACTCTCTACATCTACTAATTTAACTTCTAATATTTCTTATCTTGTAAAAAAAATAAAAAATAAAAAAATAAAAAAAATAATAAAAAAAATAATAAATGTACTCTCCAACACAATATCGTTTCATTAACTTCGAATGTGCAAACATAAAGAGGTATGTGATGCCAGTATAGATTTTATGACTAATTTGTTTTATTTACTGGCAGCTTAGCCTTACAATCGTCCCACTCCCCAACTCCTATTTCAGCTCTCTTTCTCTCTCTCTCTCTCTCTCTCTCTAGCACCAGCACATAAGTGGTTGAGTGAAGCAGATGAGGAGACCATACACTTCGACTCACTGTAAACTGAGAATTTTTTGGTCATTAAGGCCCATCCTAAATCAGGAAATTTACCATGAGATATGAGATTTATATCTGTCATTTTAGTCACCCCTTGTTTTGAATATTAACTATACACTTGAGTGTTGAATTGGGGCTCCAAAAAACTCTTTTACTACTCAACTTATTGAACCTAATATCAAACAGAATGGAGCGGTAGAAGTATTATTTTGTAGCACTACTATCATTATTTTGATACTTAAATTTACTTTAAAAAATTAGGACTTGAAATGAAAAAGGTTTGAACTAAGGTTTAATTAATCTAATATGAAAATTATTTTTGACGAGTTTGAATTTTAATTTTGAATTCAAATCTAAGGAGGTTGAATATGGATCTAATTTGTTGAAAATTTCATATGGAAACTTTCATTAGGGTATAGCTACACCATGTGGTCCAATTTCACTAACTTGTTTCCATTTATTCGTCTATGTATTTTGGCCATAGCAAAAGCTTGTTTGGCTCTTAATTATCAAGGAAATAACCTCTTTAATCTCTCACCTGCCTCTTCGTTACAATAATGATCCCACTGTCAAACTTTCATTGAGGTATAGCTGTACTAGACTATGAGCCATGTTAATTAAATGATACATATTTTCAAAGGTACTCTCAAACAGGAGTATCATGTACTGGTTCATGCATATATGAGCTATTTTGCAAAGTGAGAGAGCTCTTTTCTCACACACACAGCCCTTACACCGATTTGTTTATTTTACTGAAAGCGTATTTCTTACAATGGTCCCAACCCCTATTTCAGCTCTCTCCCTCTCTCTCTCTCTCTTTCTCTCTATATATATATATATATATATGCACATTTGTCAATCTCTCTCATTTCGTGCACATTTGCCAATCTCATTTCTTTCTCACTTTTTTACGTAGGCATTCCACTATTTTCAAACCCTAATTTTTTTTACTCCACACCCTCCCTTTCAATCTTTTCTCTCTCTAAAAAGTACAAATTGTCACTGTTTTTTTTTTTACTGAAAAGTTAGAAATGCCTGTAGCGTGGCTTCAGAAAATTACATGCCTGTTGACCGGTCAATTTTAAAGTTCATTGGGTGAAAAGACCAGTATAGCCTTTCATCCAACTATAAAATACGACCATTTCACCACGTTCAGACTACGGATCTCTCATTTGCTCCATTTCTTTCACCTCTTTCCCTCTTTCATTCCCCCCCCCTCTCTCTCTCTCATCTCCATCTCTCTTATATATCTTTCTTTCTCTCTCTAAAACTTTCTCTCTCTAAAATTGTCCGTCTCCAAGCCCTCTTTTTTTCACCTTCTGATCAGGAGACAAAACCACCATCTTAATCAAATGTGGGTGGTTCACTTGTTCAACCATTCATTTGCTCTCTCTCTCTCCATCATCATGTTCAACTGGTAAGTATCTCTTCTTGGATGCCTTTAGTTCATTTTTATTTTTATTATATGATTTTATTGCATAATCACAACTCCATATTAGCATTTTCTCTCTTCGATCTGTTTGTTACCTGTGATATGTATTACACAAAATAAAAATGTTGAGGAAGGGAGATTTATTTATTTAAAAAAATGGAGCTTCACAGGATTGGCAAAACAATCAGTATACAACCCATTTATTACTTGCAAATCCTTTGTCGGATTTGCCCTGAAACTTGGATTACTCTTAATTCTAAAAGATTTCATATTCTAAATTTTTGAGTTGCCAAAAAAATAAAGTAGGGAAATGAAAATAAATAAATAAACAAATAAACTCCATTCAAGTTCAAACTTTGATGATAAACACAATGAATCAACTCTTCAACATTTTCATATTAAATCAATATCCTAAATGCAAGTTCTAAGATCCCAACCTATATTAATCCCACAAAGAACATTTTCCAGCAGCCAATTGTTGGGGATTTTTTCTTAAAAACTACAGGCAGTTCATATAGATGCATTTAATTGGACATAAAATATAAAATTTTCATACACCACCTTAGTGTCAAATGTCAATTGTGTATGGGGGAGGGCTGTTGTAAATTAATAACAAGTTAAAATGGAGGTAATAAGTATCACAATATTTGCATTTGAGGGGCGGATGTAGAGTGGGCTTGAGCCCACTCAAAATTTTTTTTTTCATTTACTGTACTAATTTTAACCCATTCAAAATAAAAATTTATTAATAGTATTAGTCCATTTAATCAAGCCCAAGTTAACTTAGCCATCGTACTAAAATAAAGGCCAAGCTAAATAAGCCCAGGACAGATCCTGACCAAGGTGACAAAGGCGATCAGCTTTCAAAATTTATGGGGGCCGCAATAGTTAGGGCAAATCATTTCAGCCTCCCCAATCGCCTCCATCTCCATTCTCGTTCTAGACTCTGAACTTGCCTTCTCTCTCTACAACTGCAAACTACAAAATCTACAAGAATCAGAAGTTCGAAACCCATATATTTCAGTTTATCGATCAGTATGCAAGAATCAAAAGTTCAAAACCCATATCGGCATATCATTTCAGATTGTTCAAAAAATCAAAACCCATATCTTTCAGTTTCCATCGCCCACTGTTCCAGTTCGGGTTCGCCATTCGCAAGCTTCAGCCGCTGTCTCTCAACTCTCAAGCTTGCCCCCCTCTCTCTCTGCAACTGCTAACTTGTATGTATGGGTTTTGTTTTAATTTTTTTGCTAAATCAATAATCAAGGTCTGTAATTCTTGTTTTGCAAACTAAATCCTATTTACTGAAATTTAGTATTATTTTTTTTAAAAATATAGATATATATATTTTTACAATATAAAGTAACAAAATTTGCATTGCATTTTGAAGTAATCACCGTAATCTACATTTTATTTCAGCAAAACAAATATATATATATATATATATATATATATATATATATATATATATTATTTCTATAACTTCTATTTCTGTTTTTTATTTATTTTTATTTTTTGTTGTCAATTATGTCTATAAGAAAATTTGAATCTGGGCATGAAAAAGGAAAAAAAAAGAAAAAGAAAAAGAAAAAGAAAAAAAGAATCTGAATTGGATTAGAAATCTGCATCTGAAACAATTTTTATCAACATGCCAAGCTTTTTGAAGATGGAAATCTTTTCAGAACTAAAAAAAAAAAAAAATCATAACAGGAACTTTGACAAGCAAAAGTACTTAATATAGGGTAAAGCTCTAAAGTTACTTCTTGAAAATTAAAATAGTTACAAAAAGCATGCTTTTGGGTGAATTCCATAGTGTTGGAAGGGGCTTGCCGTGAACTACCTCACACTCTACTTCCACTAGTAGATTCTCAAATAGGATTAGTAAATTGGTCAAAAGAAGAGATAGTGTACTGAGTGGTGAATTGTTCAGAAATAGATTGGTAATTTTTTTTTTTATTAATTACCCAAATAGGATTTTCTATGCCTTAATCAGTCAATTGTCTAAAGAAATATTGTTAGTTAACTAAAATTGAATTAAACAACAGTTGATTTTGGTTGATATATTTTGATTTAGCCCACCCCATTGAGAATCCTAGATGTTTTGTTTCACATGGAAATACAATATGTGTAATGCACGAAGGATGTATTCAATCTTCCTGCCATATTTTTATTTTCAAATTTTGGTTTTTGATTTTCTTGTTATTAGAATGCAGAATATCAGGATATTGATTAATTTTGAAGATTATTCCTAAACTGATGCATTGTACTTTGTTATTGGATTAATTTAACATAAGAGCTGAGTATAATATGTGCTAATCACACCTATCCGTAATCACCTCTTTCTGCGGATAGGTGTCTAACATTTTGACTGAAAGCATAGTTGGGTTGGGTTGATACATGATATAGATAGTACTTAGATGGTGGTGTTTTAATTGTTATGAGTGAGATCGTGAAACCTCTTCCTCACAACTTAAGTGTTTTCTTATTTTTAGGGTTAGCATCGGGCGTTAACATTTAGCAAGAATAAGGTTCAAGAAATATGCCTGCTCAGTCATCAGGTAACAAACTCACTTTTTTTAAAATTTTAATTGACATTTTTAGCAATTGGTTAAGTTTATTTATTCATGTTTTACATACTAATTTTTTTTATTTTTTATTTTATTTTATTTTTTATTTTATTTTATTTTTTTGCTTCTACATACATATATATAATATTGTTATGATGTGATGCTTGAACAATTTATTAATAGGAATTAAAGACTTGGAAGTTTAGTTTTCAATTTCAGAATATATGTTTTACAAGTTTATTAACGCTTTAAAAACTTTTTCTCTTTTGTCCTAATAATATAAGTTTCTTTTCTGAAAGAAAAGATTTGATGGGAATGGGTGGAGTTGGCAAAAAGAAAACAGGTATGTTTTTTTTGCCTAGCTAATTGAATTATATAAATCCCTTTACTGTTGTAGCAGTGATGTTGGTTTTAAAATGACCAATTATGATAGGAAGTCTCTTTTTAGTTTATCTTAATCAAACGTCTATTTATGCAAGAGGATTAAGTGATTCTAGATGATGATTCTGGATGAGGATGTTAATATCAACATTGTGAGGATGTTGATGTCAACGTTAACTCTAGTGATGACAACCGATGATGTTGATAATATGTTGATGCACTCAAATAAAGTCAAAGCACTTAGAATTGAAGGAAATTTAGAGTTGAAAACATACTATTGAGCATAGTGTCTAATTCTTTTAGTTACAAGAATCTTTGGTCACTTCACACACGATTTTTCAGTTCCTGAAATTCCGAAACAATGGTGTGTAATATGATTCATCTACTTGGGCTCTCTTCTTTTTCATCTCTCTAAACCCTATTTTATCTGTGAAATAGAAAAAGAAAAAGAAGACTATGCAATTTCAATTTAAATTTATCAGTTTGAGCATTGATAGGGCTTCTGAAATGTTGAAACTGAAACAGCAAAGAAGAGAGAGTCTACCAATAAGACTTAGGACAAAATAAGCTCTTTGAGCGTCTTGACTAATATTGGCATGGGAGATTTCTATAGAAATGGACTTGTAGAGAGAAAGATATATGGTTGGGGGCACAAAAGTGTGCGACAACTGTGAACTAACGGTAGGGTTGTGAGCTTTTGGCTTGTTTCATGCATCGGATCTAGGAAGTGTACAACAATGAAATGGAAAGCTCTGATGCACTCAAAGTTACAAATACAATAATTAATATTATATATTTATAACTTAATCTACTAATCTAATATAATACTACGTATATCATACATACATACATATATATATATATAACTTTATACTTAGACTTAGATATATTTTGATTTAGCCCACCCTATTGAGAAATCCTGGATCCGCCCTTGTTTGCATTCATATTAGAAACCTAAGTAATATCACAACACAGAGGAACAATATGGAAAATTAATTATATCTTTCAGTAAATCAATGCTGATTGGTGAAAAAAAAAATTAATATATTGAGAAAAGCTACCATATATGGACAAGACTTATTACAACTATTGGACCAAATATAATAAACCATAGAGAAAAGATAAAGCTAAGGAATTCTGATATTTTTCGAGAGATTTGATGGAAGGAGTTGGAGGGTAATAACTTTTATTTTATTGAATTGGGTAGCATAGTTAAAGTTAGATAATGCTTAGCAAAATTACGGGTGTTAGGCATTCTCCAACCTAGTACAGCCTAGCAAGTTGGGTCAGGCATGAGGTTCCTTGGATTTGGAGCCCTCTGTTGTGGCCTCCTTCGTGTTTAGTCCCCTCATATGCTCATTATTTGCCATTTGTGACTTGTCTTGATAATTTATATTATAATTCCGATAGCCCATTGGGGTTAAGACTTCTACACTGCTCGTAGATTTCCCATCTTCTCCTCACACTTGTTTAAAGCACAAGGTTAGACTGTACATGTTGCTGATGAGATGATCTATCTCATCCAGTTTCTATATTCTCTGAAACTTGAGAAGGCAAAACACTCATTGACTTCTTCTTGTACTCTGTAGGGAGATTATTGATCGTTTTTGGGCTTACTACAACTAGAAAGGAGATTTACACAAAAAAAAAAAAATTAAATCCTTGGGTTTCAAGAAAATAAAAAGATTACAATCAAATTAATTTAGTATTAGTACTCTATGGTGGCATTTTGTTTCAACTGCTACTAAAATATTGTCAATGTAAGCCTATTTGTTGTAGTTCTTGAATGTAGAAAAGGAACACTTATCACGGGTGCTGCTGGAATGCTCATTTAATAAACCTTTATTTTTTTTTGTTCAATTGAGGTAATCACTATGGAAATAGTTTGGTGGACACCGCCACCATGTCCAAAGACGGGGCAGTCAAACTCATTGAACCTGGCTCTACAAGTGGTATAAAACCTTGCATTCTCTTCTTTTATTTTTGGTTTTCTATCTTTTGTTATAATGTTGTAAATATTCTGACTGATGGATTTCTTTCAATGAAAGATGACCTTAGAAATTTTCATGCCAAAATTAAAAATCTAGGTGGCGACCCCATCATTGTATCAGATTGTTCAATGAGTTGCTGAATGAGTTCCTTCCCAAATGCAAGACTTGTGAGGAAATAAGGTAATAACTTTGACCGTACTAAGCTATTTATAATAGTTTATATATAATTTGACATTGTTAATTTTTTATTGTGTCTTTTCAGTGAGTTGTTCTATTTTATAAAGAACAATCCGCTGTTTTTTAATGGTGCTCAAAGGTACTATTTCACCAAAAAGCTTAATCGGTTCAATTGCTGAAAGGATTAGCCTAGGAAAGGGCTTAACAAAAATGAATGATTGGAGTAGAAAGATTAAGAAGGATGAAATGCTGACAAAGGTATTCTATGGCATTTCACAGAAAAGAAAAAAAAAAAAAAAAATCTTTGGCACTTCACAGAGAAGAAAACCAGTCAAGCGTAGAAAATTAAGTCTGGCGTAGAAAATTAAGGTCTGGAAGACCAAGAGGAGTCATGAAGTTTCAACGTTGCTCATTTGAGCACGTTGAAGATCCAAATACACCAAAAGAGGTAAGCGACCAAATCATTTATCTAACTGATTCCATAAATCAATTTTTTTGTTTATTTATTTTTTTCTTTTTTGTGCAGAAAAATATTGAAAAAATACTTGCGACGGTTGTTCTGCCTTTTATCCGATTTCGTACTTAAAACATTTTATGAAGTCGTGTGCCAGCATTATACGACGTCAACTTCTGATCAACGGTAAATCTTTTTGACATTTATTTATAGTTTGTTGATTAATATAAAGTTTTGAAATTTGAAATCCTAGAATTAAATTGTAGGACTGCACTGAATGATGATGAGTTGAGAGAAGACCCTTATGTCCTGAGGACTCCACAAGCTTGGGGGACCTATTGAGGGTAAGTTCTATATAATGAATATGACTATGAACTGCCTTGATTACAAAAAATTGAAATATTTTTTATTTTATTTTATTTTATTTATATATTGGACCATATTTAGCGATAGCCATCTTGCTTGCCTGATTCTTGGTTGAGCAGCTATCTTTCCAGCCATTTCGGTTTGACAAGGCTGTTCTATTCTCTTCCCATGTTCTGGTCTGCAGGCAATAATGCCTTTTCAATGGTCCCACAGTTCACAGTTCTTGACATCTTGGCTTTAACTACCACTCGATCAGGCTGCACCACGATGGCCTTCTCCTTCTTGACCAGGAGGGAGTATCCGACAGAGCTGACATCGTTACAAATAGGACCGGCAAACAAGTAAGCATCAACAAATGCATAACCACTAGCATTTGCACAGGCATTTATTACTTTCGAAAATTGGGTGAGGGATGGCAGGCAAATTGTAGCTAATATTATATATATTTATATATATATAAACAAATGAATTACCGGGCAAAAATTTCTTATGAAATAGGATCACCGCTGAAAATTGGGTGAGAGATGACAGGCAGGCTTGCTTTCTTTCAGAGCTGTAGAAATTGCAGTATCAATTTGTTCATGTTTATCTTCCAATTTATTGATAACAGCCTATGTGTAATACAACAATACCAATTGTAATAATGGAAGTTATTTGCCAAAAAAATAAACTAATTAATAGTGTGTGTGTATATATATATATATATATATATATATTTATTAAGCCATCTTATAAAATTAAAGACTCAAGGAATTTAAATATCATATGAATCCGGGTAGACTTAAACAGTAACATTAATCCGGGTAGACTTAAACAGTAATATGATAACACCACCTACAATGCAATATCCATTACATTTTTGCATTTGAAGAAACTCAAACGAATGTGTATGTGTATGTGTATGTGTATGTGTATACCAAACAGAGCTTACTGGAAGCAGCGGAGTTCTTGACTGAAATCGCCAAATAGGGTAATCTGATGGCATCGTGCAAAGTCCTATTAGTCCGATAGTCATTGGAATTGGGACCACCCACAACACAAATGACATGAAGATTCTCACTAAGCTCACCAACTGTGAATGTGACAACGTATGCCCTAACGTTATGCAACGCATACCCGTTCGCAGCATAGCCAGCATTCAGCTCATTGGAGCAGCCAATGTTTTTAAGCTTAGTGTCACGGACTTGAACCTTTTCAAGCTCCCGTGCGGCCTTAGACACTTTCAAGCCCCCTTGAAGCGCTAAGTCAGCCTACCCGAGTGTCTAGCTTAGTGAAGACTAAGGCTAGACAAGTGTTTTGCTTACTTGGGTGTGTAGGAAGAGGTTGGGCAAGTGAGCAAGAGAGTTTGGGAATGTATAGAACTTGTATTGCTTGAGAGGAGAGATTACAACTTGGTTGCTTGGTGAGAAGCAAATGAACTCCCACCTCCTATTTATAGGCATTTGGCCTTACAAGAACATTCTAGATGTGTACAAATGTGTGGCCTAGATTTAGTGTCTAGAATCCTCCAGAAATATCTACACAACTCTAGAACTATCTACTATGTACAAGACAAGTCTAGAGAATTCTAGAGAACTCTATACAACTCTAGACAAGTCTAGAAAAGGCTAGACAACTCCACACTAATTTAGAGAATTCCGGAAAGTTCCATTCTTATGTAGAGAAGTCTAGAAAGCTCCAGTCCATGCAGGCTCCATGTCATCGTCTGCTGGGCGTCTGCGTGGCGCCTGCGTGGCATAGCCTCTAGTTAGCGGGGTGTGACATTAGGCTCCGCAATCATGAGTTGATCAAGAAGCGTGAGGTTGAAGTCACCTAGCACCGAGAAAATGTCATTGATGCCAATTTGGACAAGGCGGTGAGCCAGGTAGCCACCTAGGGTGGTGGTCACAAAGGAAGGGCGAGACTCTTGGCCTTTAGAGGTATCATTTTGGGTCGGAAACCTTGCACTGTTGTTGTTGCCGTAGTTGTTGGTGGTGGTGGTGGTAGTGGTAGTGGTAGCATTGCATGAGTCTAGTGTTTCTGTCACAGTTTCCATGTATAGATATATAATGATCAAAATAGTGAGATAATGTGGAGGTTTGAAGCAAGAATGAGTTCTGGCAATTGGATCAAAACTAGAGAGAGAGTTGAGGAAAGAACTGAAAAATTGGACTCTAATATATACTGGAGGGTGGGAGAGGTCTTTTCCTTTGAAAGGGATACCATGTGTAAAATAACAATGGTATTTTATATTTATGCCATTATAACCATATATGTGACATACATATTTAAAATAAAATAAAAGAAAAATCGGAATGGGCTCATTTCATTTTCCGTGTCACAACAAAGTTGTAACACGTGTAAATATTGTCCCAATGAGAATTTATGGGGGATGTTAACTGTGAGAATTAATTCTTATTTATTACCGGTTAAACTATTTGCATCTTAAGGCAAGTTAAAATTTCGAATAACCTTAGCACTAATTTCTCTCTCTAACCACCCGGTTAGCATAAATTCACGATCATAACTTGGAAAAATTCTTTGGCTCTTTGAAATCTATGTTGACCCTTCTATTCATCCCTGCCCGAGGTTTAGTGTGAACAAATGTGCTTCCTAGTTCAAATTCTTATTTATGTTAATTATGTACGGATAATTAGTTGTGTATAATGAACTCCATGATCAACAAAGTAAGCAACAGCGTACAGATAGGAAGCCAGTTGGCAACCGAGATTATCTCTACAAAATGAACATTCTATCGAAGCTGCATTGGAATTGGATAAACTACATATAAATCATCAATATTGCACACTCGGAATACATGTCTGTCTTGGTTGTCTTTCAAGAATGTGCAGACGTGCGCTACAATTTTTGTACAAGCAATTGCCTATCAAGGTTATGTAAATAAAATAAAAATAAATTTTGTTATACATTTTTAATTTGTAAAAAATAAAATAAAATTAAGAAGACATTTAACTAGTGGGTAAGCAGGGGTAATTTTCAAGCAACTGATTGCCGAACAAGCCGAAATGAACAAGTGCGTTGAAGCTTTGGGAGTGAGTCTCTTCTATTTGGGCCAAGGGCAACGGGAGCTCTTCAAACGGCTCACTTTTGACACTGAAACTGGCGGCAGCAGCAATGGGTATACCTCTGAAAAATGGGTGATTGATTGAGATCTCGTGAGTGTTCAGTTGCTTCTCTCTGATATTTTTGTGGCTTTTATTGAATATTTTCTATGTTAGTTCTGTTATGGAGTATTTTAGTTATGTAGTAGTAGTGCATTTTTATCTGCGATGGAGTGAGTATTTTGGATGATAGTGAGTTTTTGTTTCTGCTTTTGATATGATGAAAAATTGTTGCACCGTGGAAGATTTTTAGTTGGGATCTTATTGGGTAATTTTTGTTGGAGATTTTATATATAAATAATAAAAATTATTTTATGGTCCCATGCACTATGTTTTCTAAAATAGGATTGCAATTTGATTATTGATACTTAATGAATTGGGTTGTACTTTTTAATTTGCTGATCTAATTGAGAGTATGGTTTTATAACGTTGGATTGTGGTTTTCCAACTTATTTGGCATGATTTAATTGTAACCATTTATATCTAAATTTTCATGATAGGAAGTGAGACTTAGGTATGTTTATTTGTAGAGAAGCCGTTCCTCTGTTGTTATTATATAATGGTTTTATCGAAGGACAACTCTCAGAAGGGGTAAAGTACTCTAATATTTTGTAGGATCACAAAGAATTTTAAGGTTATTCTTCAAAATCTAAAGGTATATGTGATTTAATCATCAATCAGGTATGAGACTAAATTATCTATTTAATTAATTATAATATTGTTGATTACTATATATGAATTATTTGATTAAAACCTAACAATTGGTATCATAGCAATGTTATGAATACATATTATATATTGTTTTAAATTAAAGGCATAATAAATAAATAAATAAATATATATTTGATCGCAAACTATGTACGTGCGTCTTGCTTGTTTGGATCGAAATTGTTGTTATCCGATTCCATGTATTTAATTCACTCTGTTTATGTTGTCGTCGCCCCTTAAATTTGTATCTAGGATATGCTGTGATCATGAAGGGTAGATGATTGTCCTCCTACAGTTTAGATATGAGTCGTTTGTCAATTTGCATAAAGTTTTTGAGTCAACTTTTGAGTTGCTATTCTTGAACAAATACAGACAAAAGGGTGGATTTGTATTTTCGAATTCCGTGCTTGACTTGAATATACAGTTTGATTCATATAAACTTATCTTGTTGCTTGGCATGATTAAGTGATCTCATGAAGTAATTGAATATTTAATTAAATATTCAATTAAAATTTTAATTAATACGTACAAATGAATTTGTATATACTCCAATTGATGGCAATTGAAAAGTTTCATTGTTTATGGATTTACAGAATTTTCACTAATTAATGAATCAAAGTTTATAGACACATTATTTGAGTTTCGGTGTCTTCACAACCGTGCATGGGTAATTTAAAAGTTTTTAATTACTTTTGTTATTGTTTTGAAGAGACCCACTGTGATATCAATTTTTTGTCCAATGGTTTTAATTGATTATTGTTATTATACTGATCAATTAGTTTTTTCTTGAAAACCTAGTTACAGAAATGGAAATTGTATGCATCAGGACAGTTTTTATTTGAAGCAAGAATAAACAATGATTATAAATTTTCCTTTTCAATTCCATTTGCATGACAAAGGAGCAAAGTTCTTTTCTCCATAAATATATATATGCATTATATTGTACATAGAACAGTACACTTCTTGTAGCAGTTTTTTACTAGTTATATTGCATCAATCAGGTGGTAATTGATGAACACTAAAATATAAATGTTATAAATTCTTCTTAGAATTTATGTTGTGTACATGGATTTATATGACTATTTTTGTGTCCATGGAATTTAGCCAACTTGTGCTTATAGTCATTCCATGTTTCAACCTAAACTTTGGTGCATGACTTAATACTCAAATAGTTTATATATACGTTGTGCAAAACAAATCATTCCATAAATTATTTGATGTTGGGTTGAATTTTTTTTATTCATATTATATTACATGTACAAGTAACTTTTTGGTTGAATATGAGGCTGTATGGCTCTGTAGCCACACCTTATGTCGAGTGCTTTTATTAAGTAATTTAAGATACTTGTTCAATTTTAAGTTGAAAAACTTATGGAGTCTTGCGTGTCATAAACAAGCATTATTAACCTAATTGATTTAAAGATTTAAGTACTTTAAATTGTTCATCGGATATATAATATACATGCGTCAAGTTTTGTTAATTTATTTTAATTAAAGTATATAAAGAATTGAGATTTTTAAATCTTGATTGATGTGCATGTTATTATTCTATTGTTCACTGTAATTTCTTAAGATATATGAGGAAGCTTTATTTTATTTGTATTAAAGTCATTTATATTACAGTGAAATCAAGTGTTCCATAATATTTGGGTTTAGATTATGTGCATTATAAATAAATTATTGAACTTAAATAAATGGAACTTTTGCAGTTTAGGTTCTTTCTTGGGGTTTAGGTTGACCGGTAAAGTGACCGTTTCAAATGTAGTAGCCAAAGTGGGTAATGCCTGCCAAAAGATGACACGCTCACGGAGGTTA